TTCTTTTTAAAATCAGAATTATATGCAAGTTAATATCAGAAATGCAACAGATTTTACAGTCATGTGAAAAAGTAGGTACACCCGATGTAAAGTTTTTTTCTTTGTTAACATATGCAGACATATCATTATTTTAACTTCCTTCAAACAATATACAGGCAGTCCTCATTTAGTGACAATTGGGGCCAGCAACTCGGTTGTTAAGCAAAGTGGTTGCTAAGTGAAACTGTGACTGTGAGTATGGATCTTACTTCAGCTTTCCTTTGGTTTACAGACCTACAAATGTCATAAATGTGAGGATTGGTCATAAAGTTACTTTTTTATCACCACTGAAACTGTGAAAGGTCACTAAATATGGTGAGGACTACCTGTATAAAATAAAGGTAATGTATTTGAATAAAAAACTATGACAAATTGACTTTGCAATCATTTATTCAACAAAAAATTAACAGATATGCCATTTCCTTCTGTGGAAAAAGTAAATACGCCTGGTAAATATACCTGGTATTGCCTCCTCTGTTAGGTAGCTGTTTTTTATCACTTCTACCAGTCTCTGACATTGAGTGGGAGAAATTTTTCCCATTCCTTTATGCAGAACTTTTTCATCTATGTGATGTCTGAGGGGCTTCTTTCATGCCCAGCCATTTCAAATTCCCCACAGCATCTTGATGGGATTTGGCTCCACGCTCTGGCTTGGCCATTTCAGAACACTCCATTTTTTTTCCAGGCATTTCTTGTTGGATTTACTGGAATGTTTAGGGTCATTGTCATGTTACAAGGTCCATTTTCAGTTGAGCTTCAGTCTTCTGACAGATGTCCACAAAATACACTGAAAGAATCTGAGCTGATAGTGACAAGTCATGGTAGATAGCTCAAAGAAAAAGCGTGAATGAAACATGCAGCCTTTATGGCAAAAAAATATGCTGTATGTTAAATTAAGGAAAGGGTGGAAAATAAATTGCCAATATAAAACACTATGATAACTTACTTCACTGAGATTTTAAAAATTCAAGATAAAAATTTAGAAAAGGCCAGCTAAGATAATCAGGGCTGCTTAGAAAAAAAGTGAAAAAGAGAAAAAACATCAGATCAAGTTTTATGAAGTTATATATTGGTTTTGTTTTGGTTTTTTGCTGCCTTAAAGTCAGCATTGACTCCAGGCAACTCCACAAACAAGTCTGTGCAATTCTCATGTTCAGAAGTGGTTTGCCATTACCTTCTTCCCAGGGGCTGAGAGTGAGTGTCTGGTCCAAAATCACCCAGCTGGCTTTCCCGTCTAAAGAAGGAATAGAACTCAGATTTCCCTATCCCTATTCCAACACCTCAACCATTAGCCCAGACTGGTTCTCATATGTATGATATGAATAGAGGACACTAAATATTATGTTTGTTTCTGTCAGTACTAAAACCCAAGTCATCTAATGAGGGAGAATGATGTGAGATTCAAAACAGACATGATACAAATTATGAAATTCACTATCTCAAGATACAATTATGGCTATTGACTTAACTGTTGCTATTTTTAAAGAGAACTAAGCAAACAGAGAATACAGCTAAACAAATGTTAAAAATCACCTGAGCAATACTGGGAGTAGGTGAATGGCAAGGCATAGGGAAAGTAAACTGCCCCTTGAATTCCCAACAGTTAACAGCATTTTAGGAAAGTTTGTCGAGATATGTACATCTCTGTATCTCAGTATTCATCCTGAGAACTCTCATTTCTCCAATTGTTAATTACTTTTCCAAAGACCTTTGAAGCTATGAAGAAAGTAGTTTTTCTGAGGGCCAAACTAGACAGGAACATTGGCTGCAATGAACAATAGCAATGTACAAACACACAACTGTTGTGATGTAAACTGTAGCTACAGCAGAAGTGTTCAACTTGCAGCTGCCCAAGTTCAGAAGCAAAATGGCTGAATTTTGCAAATGTGATTTTTAGCTTTGAGAATCTCACTGGCAATAAGGGTAGAAAAGACTGGACGGCTCTCATTCTCACCCTCCTGAAAAACTGGGGAGACTTGCCTACCCCATAATTATAGGGTATCCCAAGGATCATAGAGGTCAAGGAGGGAAAATTTAACTCTTTCTCCCCCTCCACACGCCTGATAAAGCATTACTGCTCCAAAGTTGCTGTTTGCATTTCACAGGACCTTCCCACTGTTATCAATAGAGGCTTCCTGTGAAATTCATGTAGCCTTAGAGAGAAAGGAAAAAATAAGCCAAACTTCCTCTCCATAATTTTCTTGGCATTAAGGCTGTTTGGGGTTTCCTGCAGTATTACTTATATGGGAAAAAGTGTGCGAAAGTATGAGAAAATGAATTGTGACCTTAAAATGTCACAGGAAAGGGAAGAGAGGGAAATAATTGTTAGGAGATCTGTTCTGATTTAAACTCTGCTCCCCTGTGTGTGTGTCAGGTTTGAAATCATATTAAAAAATATCTGGCTACCCTAATACTTTACCACTAAAACAAGTACTTGTGTACTACAGAATTAGGAGCAATTATCCAGCTGTTTCCTCTTTGGTGATCGTATACATGTACCCAACCTTATAAACTCTGTATTTAATTATCATGAAGAATGATAAAAATATGTAGACTCCTTTAGAGATAGTTACACAGGAGTATACTTTATTTTTCATCTTCAGACAATTCAGCTCAATTTCTTTCAAAAAGGATAGAGTGGTTAAAGAACCAGCTTGACTCCCAAATCAGTTATTATTACAAGAGAAAGGGATTAAATCCATCATGCATTTAACTAAATTGCTTTCCCAAAAAGGAACAACCAATGAGCCTTTAAGAAATAAAAGTGGGATGAGCTGTAGTAATTTCATTATTAAGCATATAATCCCGGGTGCACTGAGTTAAAATAAATTCCACTGAACTGATTGCTAACTAAGTATGCTAAAGATGCGATATAAAGGAGTTTCTGCCTCAGGAATGAACGATATAAAGGAGTTTATACTAACTGAAGTCATGACTCTTGCATGTCCCACAGCTTCATTTACAGATCCTTGGCAACTTTCTTTTACCTTCAGTATATTTAAAGCGTACCGCACCTTAAACCAGTCGGACTCGTTAGCGGCACTCTTTCCACGTGACTTATACAGGGTACACCTTCGATGAAGAGGATACGCGTATCTTGCCTGGTTCAGAAATGTACCTCTGCTTGCAGGCGCAGCTAGGAAAGCGGGTTATTTAGCAAGCGCTCCGCTTTCCCTTCGTCCCGAAAGAAAAGCAGGGTTCCCTTTCTCTCTCTGAGTTCCGTCCTTTCTTTTCCATCATCGCTGCGGCCTCAAGGCCGGAGCTGGGAGCCGACTTGGGCAAACTTTTGATTCCCCTCCCAGCCCCACGTCCCACTCTTTCCTTCCGAGGGAGCCTCCCCAGCCCGCCGGCTTGACCGGGAAACCGAGAAGGATTCCAGGCGGTCCTCCCGAAGCAGCAGGAGAAGGGGCGGAGTGGAGGCGCGCAGACGGGGCGGGGGCGCTGAGTTCTCGGGCCGAGGGAGGGAGCGGAGGAAGATGGCGGGGCGGGCGCCGGCGGGATGGGAGCCGACGGGACTACGAGGCTGAGCCGCTAGGGGAGGCCGCGCTCGGAGGCAGGAAGGAAGGGCGGGAAGCTTGCGGCGGCGGCCGCTTCCTCGGACGAACCAGGGCCGACTTGAAGGGCAGGCGAAGAGGCAGAGGCGGCGGCGG